GTAAATTTTAACCTAAGTAGTTTTACTTTGCTATATTTAAAACCCCCTCACGTTACTGAGTAAAAAAAAAATACTGATGGTGAAAAAATGAAATGTGGCCCTGCCTTGCATTTACCCATAATCCAGTGCTGCGCTTCGGAAGATGGCAGTTGCTAATCACAACTTAGGGAGTATGGATGAGGAAAGGCCTGAAGAGGAAACATATTCTGGAGGCGAACGCCAGAAAAACCCTTTGGCCATATTTGGAAGGATTATTTGTTTTCAAATGCACAAAAGGGAACAATGTGATAATGCAGGGCAACATATTCCTGCCCAGGAAAACGGAGCTTTCGGCTTTCAAAACATCAACATCCAATTTACGAAAAAATGTGGCGGTAAGTTAGTTATCATGGTGTTGTTGGAATGAAAAATAATTTGCACTTTATGGTTCAGGTTGTGACTGTCGTTGTGCTGTGAGGAAGTTTGTTCTTTAGACCAGCTGATCTTTTGCAGGTGTGGATTTCCACTGAAATACGCCCTGAAATCGATTAAAACTCCTTGTGCTCAATTCGATTCATGACTCATCCTTTTATGCATTAAATAACTCAAAGTAACTAAGTAACTTTTACTCAAATTGCATTTTAAATGAAGTAATTTTTTACTTTTACTTGAGTAAATTTTGAGATGGGTAATTTTACTTTCACTCTGAGTAGAATTTAGGCAAAGTAAAGATAGTTTTACTCAATTACAATTTTTTAGTAATCTTTCCATCCATCCTCTCCACCTTCTCCAGAAGCACTATAGAGAGCATTCTGACCAGCTGTCTCACTGGGTGGTGTGGAGGCTGCAGCTCCTCAGACTGGAAGGAGGTGAGAACAGCAGAGAGGATCATGGGGGCTCCTCTTCCCTCCATTAAAGACATTTCATCCCCGTGACATCATCAATGATCCCTCACATGTCCACCATGGACTGTTCTTCCTGTTTCCCCCCCGGAAGACGCTTTGCAGCATTCGATGCAGGACCAGCAGATTCTGCCATCAGACAGCTTAATGTTGGAAAAACTCATCATGACAAATCATGGCACAGTCTCTGCATCAAACTGACCATATCAATGGGTTTTTTTGTACGTTCTTTCTACCGCAATGTTTACTTTTGATCACTGCTGCAATTTAAGAAAATGGAAATGTCATGAGAGCTTTCCAAACAAAGTTTTGTTTTGTATACACTCTGGGCCGGATTTATCAAGATCCAATTTTGCGTGCAGTAATTTGCGCTCGCAAACTGGAATTTTGCGCGAGGGGCTGAACCATG